ACACGTCGCATGACTCTTTCCTTACAAAAATTGATCGTTGTGAGTGGAGCCTACGCTGACCTGCCCCAACCATAGACACTGTCAGATAATGATGAGAAAATGGTGATGAACAACATAACAATGTAATGGTAAAATGCAACACTGTTGCAAATAAGACAGGCAATTAATACTACAGAAAATTAATAATCAGCTGATTTAGTGCACAGAGTGGTAAAATAAACATTTTAATTCAAGTTAATATATTTATTTTAGTGCTGAGTGCACTCACTGTGCTAAGTGTATTTATAATGTGATGGCTCATTAGAGCTCTGAAACTTTAAAGTGCATACATTTAAAGATTAAAGGGTACTGTCCTATAGCGTAATAAAGGAGACATGGAAAGGTATTTTGTCAGCAGATTCAGGTGAAATTAATATGACTGACTGAACAAGTATTCTGTTCTGTGTTCAAGTAGCTGCAATTGGAGCAGTGTGAAAGAGACAGCAGCAGATTAAGCAGATTGGAGGCTGTTAGCCTAAGTGAAGATAAGACGAGCTGCAAACAGGGGAATACAGCTAACCAGGGTTTGCTAAAAGTGAGTGAGGTCTATCATTCCCAGCTAATCACATATGGACACCTGTGAAGTACTAAGTAAATATGGTAGTTCAAGCAAAGACACAGTGATTTGGTAAACGCAACGATTTTAGTGCCTAAACCTAAAGAACGAGTGAATACAAAACAACTCTAGAAGAGAAGTGTTGTGTCCTCACTTGACATAGAGTTGACTTAAATTAGCCAGTTAGACAGTAATTCATTAATTAACAACAATAAAAACTACTCCTTTATTTCAAACTAGAATATACTGAGTAGAAGAGCTACACCCCCTACCAGCCTGTTGGCTGCAGTTAAGGTCGGGGAAATCAGTGTGTAGAATGTTTGAACTGCTTCCATCATGTATTCATTTTGCACCTTCTTCTTTTCAGCACAGTCCCACAACTTCCATTACATCTATGGATGCTATGAATCTGATGATGTGCGGGTGGACGTTGTTGTTGACGACGACGTGGTTGCATATGCCGATTTCAACAAGAAAGAGGTAGTGTGGGTGTTACCTCACTTGCCACAACCTGCAAAAGACATCCAGAAAATGGCTTATGAACTCGCCAAAGCCAGCACTGCACACTGTCACAGCGTTTTGGGTAAAGCAAAAAATGCTGATCCCGGCGCTCCCCTACGGCAAGGTACTGATCTTGGCACACTTCATTGCGAGCATTCGTTTAGCTCAGCCTGATCGAGGGGAAGAAAGAACACTGTTGATCCAACTGAAAGCAGATGTAACCAGAAAGAATTAAGAGAGCACATACCGGGTTTAAAATATCTCTTTTCTGTGACTTACTTACACAAGCTGCTTTGAAACTAAGTGCTCCAGGCAGGTGCTAGACTGGTGGAGCCTTAATTACACAGCTAATCAGTGACCTTCTCTCTGGCTTGAAAAATATATTGAGACAGAATCACCTTTGAAAAGTAATTATATACTATTAAATTAGCTTGAAACTTGTGTTACAGTGGCCTTTCTAAACTACTCTAAGGCAGTCTCCTTCCATAAACTGAACTCTTCTGCTTATGCCAGCATTTTATTAGAAATTATAGATAAGATGAACAAATGCAATGTGTGTGGTGTCATTTCGTGTGGCAAACTCACAGAGAATAGCTGCCTGACTCTGTAGACTGTTATTTTAGTGTTTGGAGTTTCTCTCAAATGAAAGTGCAGCATAGTTGGTGATGATGAAAAACAAAGCTCAAAGAGGGTCAAGTGGCAATGAGAAAATATTCTGGAGGTCAGCACAGGTACAAATCATTTCTTTTCAATCCAGCCCATTATGTCTGTGAATTATAACCATGCACTGCTGGATATCTCATTCTGCTTCTCAGCACAGATTAAATTAAACTGTCAATAGAGCATTTTAGCTTTGTTATTACTCCGCTGACTGCACAACGTAATGTCTACAGAATAATGACACCATTAATGTTTAGATTGTTTCCATATAAGCTTTACTTTTGCAGTCTGTCTGCCATAGCGTATGAACTTTCCAGTGAAAAAGCAGTCGGTTCCCATCTTTATTTATTACCTTTTTATATTTAGTACCTTTATTTACTTTACGAGTTAATTAGACAATATAATTTTAAGGAATAAATGTTCAAAAAACTGCCTGATGTAGCAAAAATGACACAAGTGAAAACTCTCATATGCAAATTAATATTTGTTTCTCATCAGAAGGCTCAATAAACACTCAGAATTTTCTGGCAATTATTTCATGGTTCAGCCTTGAAATTAATAAACGTATCAATAAGGCCTCCTCACCTCAAAATTCTCATATATTTATTTCTTTTTTTCGGTTGGTTTGTAAACAAAGTATTTAGTTTTTCTTTTATCATATTTTTAAATCAGAAGCCTGGCTTATATTTTAATTTTTGAGTGTTTTTTGGGCCTAGTTTTAGTTGTTAGTTTTGGTTTAGTTAACTGCTATAACTTTGTGATGAACATGTAACCTGCAGAAAGATGATGACAGAGAAGCAACTCATTTAAAAATGCTACAGTCCCATTAGGAGCCCCTCTGGCTTCTACTGGCACATTTGCAGTTTTTTTTTTATGGTAATAGTCTCGTTTAAATATTAAAATAACCTCCGGCACCAACAATGTTTGGCAAAAAAAAAAAAATGCAAAAGAAAATACAATTTTCATTTTTTTTTTTATGCTTAAATGTCTCTGTCAATGTCTTACATTTTAAATCTGTGAATTTGTTATATATTCTTAATTCTATCAAGGTAATATTTCTTGGGGGGGATTTTGCTCTAAAAGTATGAAATGTGTCCCTCTTTGACCAGATCCTCCTGACATCTACATCTATACCCGGTATGAGGGGGAGGCTAGTGTGATGAACACTCTCTTTTGTGTGGCCAACCACTTCTACCCACCCACCATCAACTTCACATGGACCAAGAATGGAGTGGAGCTCACAGAGGGCATGGCAAACTTACGTTATCGTCACAATCGTGATGGGACATTCCACATGATTTCTACGCTTCTGTTCACTCCAAAACCTGGAGACTATTATATCTGCACGGTGGAACATCAAGCTGCGCAAGTGCCTATCAGCAAGAGCTGGGGTAGGATTATTACCTTATAATATAAAGTGCCTGAAGTAACTGCTGTTGTGATTTGGCACTTCATAAATAAAATTGAATTAAACTGAACTGAACTGTTTTTATGAATAAGCCAAGGACTCTTGAAATTCTCCCCAGTAGACAATCAGGTGATGATACCAATTATAGAAACCCTCCTGCAATACCAATACTGTGTTAGATTACATTTTTCTTTTTACATGTAAGGTCTGCAACATTATCGCTTTCATACATCCTAGATTAGCAACTAAAATAAAGCTGTTTGAAGCAAAAAGCAGCCTCCTAACATTCATGTTCTGTGAATCGGGGAACCCTCCATCTACCGTCTGATGTCTTATATTTAATTTATGCTTCCTATTGTCATCCTTCTAAGCAGTTGCACATGTCAAAAGTGATATCACAATTCACTTGATTTGTATTGTAATATGGTTTTTGTAAACCTCGCTATTGGTTGGAGGCATGGATCTATGAGAAGGTTCGGTCATGTTAATGCTGGAGCTCAAAAATATCCAGCTTAGATAGAGGGAAGAGGTGCAACAGTTTAAAAAAAACAAGGAATCCTGAAGAAATTTTTAAAACATACAAAGAAATTTTTTTCATTTGACTTCTTCTTGTTCCACACCAGCGCTGATGCAGAGTTGCAGCACTTACAACTTAGGAGAAAACTACAATGAGTCCAAGCGTGCCTCAAGCAAAAAAATATGTTTGGCTTTGGTTGCTGACATGTGCAACATGCCAATATTAGGGGCTTTTGGGCTAGCTAGAGGATATCCAGGAAATGATTTCCTGTTCTCTGTGCTGGTAACTGTTAACAAATGTAGGTAAAATTTTAAAGGCTAAAGAAAAACTGAGTAGCTTTCACATGAAAACCAGTGTTTTCTTGACTGAAGCATAATCCTTTTTTCACACCTTTACCTGCATACAACCAAAGCCTGCTCGAATGCAGTTTAGAAACATTAAAAGCTTTGCTAACAGATTCTTTGCAGTCTTGCACAGCTATCTGTTTATTGTGATAAATGCCTCCTTTGCAGACTCTATATTAAAAAAAGTCATCTGGCTTCCTATGTTTACCTTAAATAACAACAGTCATAGAATTATTACAAGAAGGCCTTTTTAGACATAAACAGATGCAATTTTCAGTCATTTTCAAAATACACAAATAAAATATTTTTTTTTATTTTATTTTCAGACTTGAAGGAAAATAAGAGGAGCAGAGTGAGCCCTGCAGCCGTGTTTTTCGGTGTGAGTGTCGTTTTGTGCGTGATGGGATTCGGGACCGGAGTCTTCTTTTTCATCAAGCAGCCAAATTAATGTCTTCAAATTTGAGATTGAAATAATTAAATAAAAGTTAATCATTCAATCTTTAATCCTCTGATTAACTGGTTTTATATGTACAAGTAAAACACATCAAAAAACATCCAGATTCTTGTGCTTACAGATAACCTCTCTATATCACTGCATTAATGGTAAATGACAGTTTGTTTACTTAATGTGTTTAATGTGTACTTACAATTTGTATTGTTTTTCACTTGACGATGTGGTTTTAATATACTTTGATTTTTAATAAATAGATAATTACTGGGGTTGTTATACAACAGTGTATGGCTGTATAGCACACAGACCTACAAAATAATTTGTGTAGAATAATTCATCCCTGCTAAGAATTTATAGATAAATAAAGCAAACATCTTGCACAACTGTGAACTAAAGAGTTGTAATGTCTTTGTTTGTTTGGTTTGAGGTAGGTATGCGGGCTTGTTTAATAGTTTTTGAAGACTAGCTCGTTGGCGCCCTCTGCTGCACTCCTGGCTGAATGGCAGTCGGGTAAGCAGGCGGCGGCGCCGTTGTTTCATTTATTTTTGTCCCCCTATCAACGGGCTCCTCTTATGTAGTTCCACAACACGCATGTAACACGATCCACAAACTCTGGCGACATGAGTGCTGATAGTTGTGGTGGAAAAGTGGCTTTGCGGAATCTGGTTAACTCCATCAACTGTATCCGAGACCGAGTCAGAGGTAACTGCGCCACATTATCTGTCTGTGTTGTCACAAATGAAACTGCTTAACCATAAAAGCTTATGTCAAGCTAGCTAAACGTGCTAATATATGTGCTAAAATATGTGCTAACATTGGTATAAACTTTATTGTTAACTGTTGTAGATTTACGAGTTTAACTGTTTGTTAAACTCGATTCGTGAGTTTAGCAGCAGTTAACGAGTTTGACTGCTGTTTGTTAGCAGACAAAGACGGGGATTTAACTAATGTAACATACAGCGATAAAGACATTTGGCACTTTATTACGTGACCCAGCTACATTTAGCTGCTAATTCATGTTCGCTTTTATTCAGGTTTTTATTCCCAGGTGTTGTAGAAAATGGAGGTTGGGACTTTTTGTCTTGCTTTTTCAGTTATATTATCTTGTCCTCATCTTAACTGACCTAAATGTGACATTAGACATCAGTGTTACTCGGTATATAGAGTGTGTTTCATGAGTCAGTTTTGTGAACAAAAACAACTGCTTGTGCAGGACATAAGAATACTTAAAGGTTTGCTTTTACAAAAGTGTAAATCTGAAATACGAAAATAACAAAATGGACAATATCAGACATTTTAATACGAAAAAAAAAATGTTTATCAAGACAAACATACAGACAGGAACTAAAGCGCCACTCAGCCCTAAGTGGCCCTTTAGTTACTGCCATAAATCCAAAACACCTACTTTGTTGTCCTCATCAAAATATTCAGACATTTCATTATGTCCAAAGCAGTGGCTAGCTAATTGTAGTTGATCATTTAATTATTGAATTTTTCAATCTAGTTTATTAATTATTTAGTATGAGGTCCGTGTTTTTCTGTACATGGGAGGTTTTGGTCTTCCCTCTGAAGAAAACCCAGTATATAAAAGCCCAAATATGTTTGTTTTTTTTCTCCAAAGTAATGTCCAGAAATGACACAGAAATGCACTGACTTCTGTTAACACTTGAGAAGATGAGTCTGATCAAAACTGACAGCTTTAACCCAAGAAACCCTTAAATAATAAAGATTGTAAGAAAGAAATATTTTTTGTGCCATGGAGTTGTCTTTAAATCCTATTTTCTGACCGCTTATCCATTTCACAGTGATTTTAAATAGCAATAGAAGCTAATTCTCCTTTTTCAGAAGTTGAAATTAGATTATTTAAAGAATAAATTATTTTAATAATTGTTTATACTGAAAATAATTCTCTGCACTTTGATAACAGTGAAGTTGCAAGGAGTAAAGGTAGTGAAGGTTAGATGAGTAGGCCTGGGGGTCAACCATCCAAAACAACAGACAGTGCACAAGAAGAGATTTCCAGCAGGCTGGAGACGAGGTGTCACGGGTGATCTTTTGACAGAGGGATAGCAGCAAGAGTGAAAGGGGAGGTTTACAAGATCGTAGTTTGAACTTCTATGATGTATGGGTTGGAGACAGTGGGACTAAAGTGGGGAAAAAACAGGAGGTGGAGCTGGAGGTGGCAGAGTTTAAGAATTTCTTTGGAGTTATCAGTATGGACAAGATTAGAAATAAGTACATCAGATGGACAGATCAGACTGAGCAGCACAAAGTTAGAGAGGCAAGGCAGAGATGCTTTGAACATGTGCAGAGGAGGGATATGGAATATCCTAGGCAAAGGGTGTTGTATATGGAGCTGCCAGGCAGGAGAAAAGGACCACAGAGAAGATTCATGGATGTAGTGAAGGAAGACATGCCAAGGTTTGGTATGACAGAAGAGCATGCAGGGACAGGATGAGATGGAGACAGATGATCGACGGAGCAGCCAAAAGAAGAAGACTCCCCTGCAGTTTAGCTTAAGAACTAGAACCAAGAATTTAGAACATTTTTTTTCCTTCGCAGATGGAGAATCAAACGAGTCCGATGGAGCATTCAACCTCTCCAACTTCTGGGACACTTTGAGTTGAGTATCATGATCTCTTGCTGCTGTTTCAGCTCCTAGACTTTTGAACATCCTTTGACAACTGGATGATGTTCATGTCTCGTTACAGTGAATGTTTTGTGAGAAATGTATTTGCATCGTTTTTATAATGTTTTTGCAATGACTCATTTGATATTTAAAAAAAAAAGAAAAGAAAAGAAGCATTAGGATAATTCCTTCCTTCATGGTCTTGTTGTTACATGATGCAACTGTCTGTGTCAACAGATCAGGCAGTGAAGGCAGTGTCCCAGGAAGCCACTAAACTCAGCCTGGCCTTCTCCAAACCTCCTCTGCCATCACAACAGGTCAGATTATTTCTGTAATCATGAAGGTTTCTCACTGAGCTGATAAACAGATTGTTTTGAAGTCTGGTATAGTGTAAAAATAAGAAATGATGATGATGATGTGAGCTGAGCTCTTACTTGGAGCCATAAATTATTGTCATGTATCTCAGGGTCTTGAATTTCCACATAAAGCTTCTAAAGACCATTACATCATTTGTTTTCTGTCTGTTTTTCCTCCACAATCTCCAGGATGGAGAGAAGCTGGCAGAGTCCATCATGAAGAGCATCCTCACACTGTCCACAGTGTATTACTGGCTACCTAAGAGCCAAGGTAAAACCCTGTGAACAGCAGAATAGTTATGTTGTATTCAGACGAGCGAGGTGAATACGTTGCACTGCATTCAGGTTTTTGGACCATTTCACAATAACAGAATATCGCAATACACTTGTCAATCTAATCCAGACTCCAAAAGCCAGAGCAAGTGCCCGTCTGTGGGCTTATCTATTTACTTCAGTGCGACGCGCTTCTATGTTTACTACGGTAGTACTAACAGAAGTCTTCACTCACCCTATTTTTTTGGAAAATAGGAACAACTTATTGAAATGTGCAATTATAGACTGCAATACAGTTAATGAGGCAAAAACAGTTCGTATAATTCTAACAAGCATCAAAGTCAATATTTGGTATGACCCCTCTTATTCTTTAGCACAGCCTGAACTCTCTTAGGCAAACTCGTCTTCTATTTGTCTTGTTTCCTCAGACTTTTTAAGGACACACTGTGCATCTCTGTTCCACTCACAGTGAGACAAAGTGAGAGGGGGGGGAAAAAGAAAGTATATCCAATGTAGCAACAGCAGTATTCACACTTTAGCTCAGTGTTAAAGTCTCACAAATAAATAGCATAAATATATATTTTTGTTATTTTACTACTAAAATCATGCAATATAAATGAAGCAAACTGTATTCGTGGATACATTTATGTGTCACATTATATTTGACAAATTTAGGAAAGAATAGTTTAGGTTTAACCTGATATTGCCTTAAGTATACAGATTGATTTCTAGTCTTTTCCTAGAGTGGTGTGTGAATGACTGAATGTAGTGTAAAGCGCTATACAAATACAGGCCATTTACATTCAAGTGTACAGCTTGATAATTTAACACTGGTATCAGTAGGTATCTGAAGCTGAGTTGTCTGAATCGGACTGGAGAAGATTGATGCGTCCTTACCCACTTATTCACCACTTTTAGCCACTGCAACCTCCAAAGTACAACCAGAGACTGGAATTAAGTAATAGTAACATTGTTTTTGAACTTACAGCTCATTCTGTGTAATCACATGGCACAAATACTTCACTTCACATTAGGGCTGCCACGATTAGTCGACTAGTCACGATTACGTCGACTATCAAAATCGTCGATGACTAATTTAATAGTCGACGCGTCGTTTGAAGCTTTGTAAGATCCCAAAAGACACAGGAATAAGTAGAAGGATTTAAGAGCGTAATAACGGACTGAAACAGAAGATGGCAGCACTGCATGTACAAGGATGCCAGCTGCCGTTAAACCCCGAAGAAGAAGAAGAAGCTGTGTCCCAGAATTCATAGCGCAGCCCAGCTCACTTTCCAACAATGGCGGCAGCTAGTTAGTTTTAATATTACTCTTATTATTCTTTCTGGGTCACAAAATAAACGTTTAACATATTTTCAGGCGAGAATGTTGCTGTGTAAACCTCAAATATCGGCTCAGTTTATCAGGACACCACATATTCTCAAAAGCACTCCGACGTTTTCGGAGACGTCTGTTACCCACTAGCTCGATAGCTAGCCGGGGGCAAGGCTCACTAGAGCCGTGGGAACACCGGACTCCCGTCTTTCGCTACTCAGGTTAAACATGATATATATATAAGTCACTTAGATAACTTAAAAATGTTATTGTTTGGCTTTTTTCAGTATTTTATTTGTTCCTGAGTAAATCGGTTTGGCTGAGATTAAAGTTATAGTTTTTACACAGCTGAATAAACGTCAAGCAGACAACTGATTATCAGAAGTGTGAGATGCTCCAGAATATACTCCAGTGTCCTGTTATATTTTAGATAGCAAGGAGTTTATTAAACTTCACCGAAACAATCTGCAAATTTAATTAAAATTTAATAAACTATCATCTTGTCTTTATTTTTAGTTAGCACATACCTTACACACTTAAAGCTGTAAGCTAATGATAGTTATATAAGAGCAGGTGCTGCTGGCGCAATAAGCTGTACGTTTTACATTCAATGGATGATGATCTGATTAGTCGACTAATCGCAAAAAATAATCTGTGACTAGTCGACTATCAAAATAATCGTTTGTGGCAGCCCTACTTCACATTTGGTTTGAATAGAACAAGTGTGATTCAGTGGTTGCGAACTAAAAAATAAAACTTATGTACAGAAACAGTCATTATAACTTTCTTGATGCTGATGCTGTCAACATTTATTGTGTTGTGAGTTGATTTGAAATACATGTAGATCTGTACCTTTATTGCGACTTCAGTGTCAGAGTGTTTGGACCTTCTGTTCTCTCGGTGTCTCAGGGCTGGCTCTGCGCCGACTGGTCAGAGATGCTACTGTCGAGGTTCTAGAGGGAGTTGCACAACTGGTAGAGGTCATAATGAGCTCACCTGTAGAAAGGTATGGACACCAAACCCAGCGTTTTACATGTGGGACCTGGGAAATTGGGAAATTTTAATTTTGTCTTTCAATGATTACAAGGTAAACAACAAGGTAAAGAAAATAGCATAAGGCTTGCATCGATGCCGACATTTTGTTGTTTGTTGGTGTTATTTGTTTGCAATGGTTTACGTTCCTCCATAATAGAAATCTGTCAGAATATAAAAATCACACCAGGCGAAATAAACAAATTCTGCATATTACAGTTACTTATGTAAGGACATGAGTTTTAAGGTGAATTAAACGATCTGTTTCACAGTGAGATTTAACCAGATCTCTCCTGGCTGGTGACTACATGGTTCAGATGTAGTAATGGTACTGAGTTTGTACGACCATATTTTTCAGAAATCTGTCATGTTTCTGTCATTTCTGAACATTTAATGGGTAAAAAATATAATTTTTAGAATCAACTGGTAGCACCAAAATAGGACTTGGGGAAATCCCGTGATTAAAAAAAAAAAAGAGTGCTCTCCGCATTAATGCGTTAATGCACCCGTGTAAGGGGTTACTCGGTGTTAGCGCAGACCCATCTGGAGTGCAGAATCGACAAAGCTAGGACAAACTGCCTGAAATGCTGTGACAGAGACATTTCAGGGATTTTGAGTCAGTCTGCGCTCCAGGTGGATTAATTGTTAATCTCGTTAATTGTGATAACAGCGTTAACATGTTTAAGCCGCGTTAGATTAGCCTGTTTTAACGCGTTAACGCTGACAGCACTACTTTATAAACCAAAGGTAGATTATATATTTACTCTTTGTTGCAGAAGCACCACCAGGAGTAAACATTTATAAAAGCTTCAGATTTAGGAGATTATATTTCTATTTTAAGCAAAACAAAAACAGTAAGTTGTAAGGTATTTTCTTTATATTCCCCTTTCTAGGGCTGCTCAATTAATCGAATTTTAATCACGATTACCTCCCTCGTGCTTTACTCTCGCGCTGCTCCGTGTGACAAATCGAGCGCACCTCTCTGCATTTCGAACACGTGTCAGAGCAGCGGTCCCCAACCTTTTTTGCGCCACGGACCGGTTTATGCCCGACAATATTTTCATGGACCGGCCTTTAAGGTGTCGCGGATAAATACAACAAAATAAAACTAGTACCGGTACCGAAAAAAAGAAATTTATTCATAACACACGTGAAAAGACCCAGGAAAACCGAGTAAACGATAAAAACGATAACAAAATAACGCTGAAAACCGATAAAAACCCTGAAAACTATACATTTCACACCTGAGCCTCAACTCTCGCGGCCCGGTACCAAACGACTCACGGACCGCTGATTAAGAGGACCCGAGGGAAGCTCGGAAAGCTAAGCAGAAGTTATTTGGAGAGGAGAGTGACTGCCGTTGGTTGAAAAGAGAGGTAAAAAAAAACTTCAGTGGTGTGGAAACATTATGGGTTGCGGAGTCAGACGTGGATCAAGTAGACAAGTGTGTAAACTTTGCTACAGTGTGTAGCTGCACCACAGAGCAACACTGCAAAGTTCACTAAACATAGATGTTTACATTTTTCATTTATTTTTTATATTGCAAACATTTGCACTGTTATCAGTATTTGCACACTATTTTATATTATTTTTTGACAATCTTTAAAGTCATTATTCAATACATTGTTATTGTTAAATAAATATCGTCAAATAATCGAGATCTCAATTTCAGTGAAAATAATCGTGATTATCATTTTTGCCGTAATCGAGCAGCCCTACCCCTTTCTGTTTTATTTTCTTCTTAATTTATCATCTTCTTCCTCGTTCTCTTTCCAACACTTTCTTCCAGCCTCAGCCAGGAACAGCTGATGTCAACAGGAGGAGTGTGGTCTGCCTGCGACCAGTTCCCTCAGTTGTCAAAAGGTCCGTTGACAAAGACAAAACAAAACAAACCAGTAAAATGATGTTTAACTCCAGCCTTTCAGGGAGTTCTTTTATGATACTTTGAAACAGTGGGGTTTTAGGAAAAGAAGCAATGAAACACTATAGATTTGGAAAAATTATGCATGAAGTATCAAAGTAAAAATAAGTATTCTGCAGAAAAGTGTTCCACATCACTGTTAAACTGATTAGTATTATTGCTGCTTATCTTTAAGGTTGAGCTTATTTAAAATATTTCATATTTAAGTTTAATGTTCAGCATATTTTATGAAGCATGTCGTGGCTGTCTTGTGAGGACCACATATTGCAGAAAAAACAAACTGTTGTTCATGAGCTCTGAAACACAACCCTACAAGTTGATTTTTTTTTTTAAGTATACAGTGCTAGCTGAGCCAGCACCTGGTTGTTTTGCTTGTTTTTTTAGACTAGATATAGTCAGAGATGCCTGCCTTTCTCCATCATTGTCAGCTTTCCTATCTAATGTACTAAAGGCATTATTAACAGTTTTTTCACTCTTCATCTTCTCTATCTCTATATCAAACATGTTGGCCAAGCTGGTTAGCAAGAGGAAACTATGATGATAAATGCCAGGAACCTGTCTACTTGCCAATGCTAGTTGTTTCCACAGGGCGTGCAGATTGTAACTGATCCCAGAGCAGTGAAAGTGGACCCAGTGACAGCTGTCAAAGATCTGAGGTTTATCCACAATGCATATGTGCAAACCACCAGAGAAAAGGTGGCCAATCGGCTCCAGTCATTGTTAATTGAGACAGATAAACCAATAAAATGGAGACAGCTGCAGTTTCCTATGATTATGAAACAAGTGGAGCTTTAAGCGGTGATAGCCAGCTGTGGCCACAAGACGGCTTCATGACAGCACTGTGACATAAAAGGACAGAGATTTCTTTACTTTTGTGTGTTTTATGTGCTTGGCCTGACAGAACGCAGTCCTGCTTTGAAGTTACATGTTAATATTAGAAGCAGGAGATATCTTTACTTTGATAATGCTTTATATGCCTTTACATTGATTATGACAGCAATAGCAGTATTACCATTAAGCCTGCAGGTGGGGATGTTTTTCTCCCAGTCTAACTCCCAGTCTGTGTATCAGTGCCATAAGCTATTTCATCAAAACCAAAATGTCTACATTTAATAAAGAACAGGTGTGAATTCTATCCATTTCTATCCATTTCTATTCATTTTTGGATTGTTAGAAACATTAAAACAGAGAAAGTACATTTATCCACAAATTTTTAGCGTCACAGTTAAGTGATCAAAAAATCTGCCGTCAGACGAGTGTTTTAGCTGATACACAAAATAAGAAAACTTTAAATATTGATATAGGAGGATTCTAGTCTTTAACTGGTAATTTTGCTCAAAGTTTTACAAGGTTTTAATAATGGGTGTATTGATCTTCTCTAGATAATAAGGCAGCAGTGGTCGTGGTTCTGTTGTGTGAGGTTCGAGTTGTGAAAGATGCCATAGAGGAAATTGAACAGGTATACACACACTGTGAATTTCATATTTGCTCTGGTGTTTATAACTAGGCCTTTATTTCAACATTATTATTATCATTATTATTATTATTATTATTATTATTATTCGTTCAGTTTTAGAAGTTTTCTTTGTGTATTTTTTTATAATAATAAAGCCAGCAGTGCCAGAAAGTGCACTTGAAGCTGGCTGATGAAAGAAAGTCAGTCCCCATAGACTCCAACTTTACAGCAAAATTGAATATGTTTATATTCTGGTATGGTTTTGGTCTAGTTTCACCTCTCATAAGAACTGTAATGGCAAAAATATGTTGCCTATCAAATCCCATCAGGCATTAGCTGAGGGTGAAGACCCATTCAACGACGTACTCGATGATGACCAGGACGGAGATGAACCCCGAGGCAACCAGGATATGTACTGGTCAGAGAACGATCGGCAGGTGATTGGTGCGTGCCAGGGACTAATAAAAGCAGCAGCAGCTTGTCTGAGGAAACTTAAATCAGCTGTCAAATCCAACGGTGACTTCAGCACTCCCCAGAACGTGTCACAGCTTGACGACTTGGCTGATATCAGCAAAGAAATCAGCCCTGGGTAGGCACATGCATACAAACATACACACACACACACAGGGGTCAAGACTTCACACTAGTAGAAACAAAAAGAACTAAACAGCACAAAATTTCTAACAGTTAGACCCTGGATGCTTATACTTCTTTAACTAATGCGGACGTTCTTATATGTTATATAAATAATTATGGTTTCCATAGTTTTTATGCAAATCAAAATGTGTGTTTGGGGTCATAATTAAGGTGCAAGTTTTAATGATGTCACAGTCATGCAGACTCACCTTTGTCGTTGGTTGTCTTTTCTCCTTAGCGTTGATGATCTGGCCCTTTGTCTCTACCCCCCCATGGATTATAATGGCGTCGAAACCAATGTAAGACACACTTTCATCCAATGGGATTAAGAACGTTTTGGTTACAGCTCTGATCAAAAGTTCACAAAGTCAGCCACCTGAAAAAGCTGACAGTGATCTGAGTGTTTCATTTTTAAATGTAGACCTTTTATAAAATCTCCAAATATTTGGTTAGAGTCGGCTTACTTCGGGTTGTAACTTCATTGCTCAGTGTGTCATGCTGTTTCCAGGCCTGTGGTGTTGATCTGCTTGTGTAATTTATGTGAACTGTGCTGGTATGTAAAGTGACAAGAGTGCAGGGGAGTGGAGTCAGATGTGCACAGGAAAGCTTTTAACTTCAGTTGATCGCCGTTTCACTCCCTTGCTTTTTCACAAGACAGCATATAGATAATGTAAAGAATCGCAGGGAGCCAAACAACTGAAAATCCCCCCCACCTGCTCTGATACGTACTGCTGTAAATGGGTAGGAGAAACTACCATTTGTCCACAGTTGCCCGCTTACACAGTTTTCTAAAAATTGCTAGCTTGCCCCTCCCTCCTGATGACCTCATGCATTTTGTGAAAGAAAGTTTGACGTATAAGGGAGCAGCATTTAATCTGTTATGTCTGACAATCATGAAAAGCGATCATTTTATGACTCTGCAGTTGCACAACCTAACACTGAGAGCAAACAAAGAAATGTTATTATAAACAGGGCATGAGCATTTCTTTGTGGTCAAGAAGGAATATTCTTGACTTTCCTAAAAAGTATATTTGTGCTTCTGAATTTTCTCAGTTCACCACTCTTTTTCCAAAGTATTGAACACAGCTCAGACTGTATTTTTACTAAACAGCAAATTAAATGTATTAGAACTACACTTTTAAATGGGCCTGTTATAATCTTTATTTATCATATTATGGGCTGTGGTGTAGCCTCTCAGATCATCCTCTGTTTAAAAACAAATCGTTTTATTTTATGACTCCTTTTATTGCGACTTTCTTCTGATTGGCCACATTTTACAAATAAAAGGTTTGGACAGTAGATGAGTGGGACTTCTGTGATTAGAGTCAGAGCTGTGTGCCTGAGATGACGATATTCAGGATGTCCAATCTCTGACGTATTGATCCAAAAAAACATGTTATGAAACAGAGTGTTTAGAGGGGACTCAAGTCTGAATTTATACAGTTGGGGAATTATTTATTTGATCCTCTACTGAATTTCTAAGTTTGCTTACTTACAAACAAATGAACAGTCTTTCATTTTTAGGGTAGTTTCATTTTAATAAAGAGAGACAGAATGATGAGAATGAGAAATATAGAAGAAAAAACACATTACATAACGTTATAAAGTAATCTTGCTTCATGGGGTAAGGATGATCTTGAAAAAGGTGATGGATCAGTCAAAAACTATATGAAAGGAGCTTGTTGATGATCCAAAGGCAGCCGAGAGTCTCTATGTTCTTTTGTAAGTTGGCAAACTTAAAAATTCAGCAGGAGATGAAATAATTTCTTTCTCTCTTCATGATATATAAACGTAGAACCTGAATAAAGACATTGTTTTTTTTTTCTCTCAACAGGTGTGTAAATTAGCAGCACTTCTAAAGAAAGTTCTGGAAATCATCAGGTAAGAGTCACTACAGTCAAAACAAAATGTTCTTGGACATTTTAGGTTAAGTGACATTACAACATAACATGAAAATAAAACTGGAAAGCAGATTGTGCCTGGTCTAATTTGTCAACCAGTTTCCCTCGGGGAAAGTAGTTGGGTGTGTTAGAGAATGTTGAGAAAGAGGTGGGTGGAGTTTCTGAGAATCTGATCTTATCTGATCATGTTGTGTTACATCTTTTCGGGTTGCATGAACACTGAACATGACTTGTTCACATCAATGTTGGACAATCTGGTTTCTTTCTATGAGTGATGTGAGAGGAAAATGCTCTTTTATTGACTCTGTTTATCATTGTTCAGGTCCAGTCACGTGTGTGGGGAGTCAGAACTGACCTGGGTTCAGTTCTTAGATGGAGCCATCGATCACAACCTGCAGAAAGCCAAAGACCTCATTCAGCAGGAAAGCTAGTGTATCTGTGCAGTTACGCGTGTTCCTGTTGTTTTGTTTTGGG